ATAATATGATAAGACACACCAACTTTCAATATCAAGCAGCTAAACGAACGGTTTTGTTCAGATAAAAATAGCGGGACGGAGTGGACATGAGACCGGAAGCCAGACCCATAGAATTTACAAATGGTCGTGCCCATTTTTACAACAAGAAAAAGGTGGATAAAATGTTTAAAAAATGGTGTTAATTACGGTTTGTGAAAATGAAAATACGAAATACAAAAATCTTAAATACAAATATTTGTTAAATACAGCTTTATTTATCATAGGTTATTTATTTATTTTTGTAAAGTCATAATTTTGTTATAATATGATACTGTTTTGATCTGTTTGCTCTTTGGTTATTATTTACTATTTTTATAGTGTGATTTTTGGTGAATACGAATAGTATTAAAACTAGTAAGGGTCAGTAAACATCAATTATTAATTATAATAATATTAGGCATACATGGAACCCACAACTAAAATTCATAGATAATAGCAAGTGAGATTTCAATGATTTTGACCACCAAACTAGTTAATGTTCCTGGTTTTCACTCTATTCACCATCTAAAAAACGCTTTTCATCTGAAGGTTTAAACAGCTTACAAGAACAGAGCAGACCAGAAAAAAAGCTGAAGGCAAGTTTCTTGTTCAAAAGGATCTCAGTAACACTTCAGATCGTAGGTTTGTCACGTTCAGCTCTCCAGGGAGTTAAAGAAGTCGATTAAGGCCATGCACAGCTTGACCAAATCAGCCTCGGGATGCTCCGTAGATTTCTTCAACACCTGTCCTCTCTCCTGATCCTGTGAAAGGTGTCTCAGCTCTGGAGGAGTTCCAGCATTGTCCCAGTGCCAAAGAGACTGTAGGCGTCCCGAGCACCCCTGGGGGTTGCTTCACTTCTCACATCTTGAAGACCTGCAGAAGTCCCTTGAGGAGTTCGATGTTCTAGGTTGCATTTACAATGGAGGTGAGTCAGTGCTCTGGAACCTTGTGGAGGAGTTTGTCTTGAAGATGGATTTCCAGGAAATGCATCGAGTCTATAAATAAATAATTTGCCATATAGTTTCCATAATAAATGCTCCTACGGAGCCGCTGGATTATCCCAGTATGCACCTTCAGAATGCATTGTGCACACTTTAACGTTAAATGTTACTCCCTGTGAGGCAGTGTGCAAGAGCAGTGTTTCACCATTCATTCAGTAGACCATTGCCAGCTAATGTATTCATACATTTCATTCACTCAGTGCCATTTTGTGTCATGCATCGTTTAGTTTGATTGCACTGTGTGGATATTTTGTGATGTTTTGCATCTGAAGTTTTCCTTGAGGATCATTAAAGCTACACAAACATGCAGAAACACATAAACATGCATACACATACATCTGGAGAGGGAGAGACGTCTCTTACCTTAAAACTCCAGTAATGTGGCTGCTAAGAGAATGAGAGAGAGAGACAGAAGGGAAAGAGCAATGAGTTATGCAGGTTTACATCTACTGAAACACAAACTAGCATTCAAAAGTTTGCGGTCAGTACGTTTTTTTAATATATATATATATATATTCAGCAAGGATGCATTAAATTGATCAAAGGTGACAGTAAAGACATTTAAAATGCTGCAAAACTTGTCTATTTCAAATAAAATGCTGAACTTTATATTCATAAAAGAAAGCTGTGAAAAAATGCATCATGGTCTCCACAAAGCAGCAAACTTATTTCAGCACTGATAATAAATAAAAATGATTCTTGAGCAGCATATTTGAATGATTTTTGAAAGGTCACGTGACACTGAAAAACATTTTAAGCTGTAATAATATTGCACAATATCACTGTTTTTTATTTATTTATTTTTAATCAATTAATCAATAAATGTAGCCATGGTGAGTAAAAGAGACTTATTTTAAAAAATATTAAAAAAATTATAACGACCCCAAAAATCGGAACAGAAGTGTATATGGAAAACATTCAGGTTGGAATAGAAAAATGTGGATATACTTGAGCTCTGTTCGGTGATTGACAGGTGCTGTTAGCCAATAGAAAAACATTCCAAGCACATTCTTAACCACATTTTACACAAAATTAAGAAAAGTTCTTGATTGTGTCAAAAACCAAAGGCCATTGGTTTAACACAGTGTTTTTGTATGAAGGAAACTGATTTTCAGGCTTTCAAGGCACCACAACATCACATTCTCTGATCTAGAAACAAATCATGTGAGTTTTAGAGATAACCAAGCAAATATTTAATGCTTTCAAACTCTTATTTGTCTGTAGAAATAAACCCATAAACCGAACATGAAAATGTGCAAATATTTGTACAATCTTAAATGCCATATTCCATTCAACTAACCATCACAGATACAGGATTGTGGGATATCATTGGTAATGAGAGGAAGGGCAAATCTGTGCTTATTAGTAGATATCTTTATAGATGGGATGTTATGCAACAAAAAATGTAATGTATACCTGCAGATACTGCCTGAGAAGGCATCATTTTTTCTGGATTCGTACAGGCCATGTAAAACAGAAGTGCTTCTTTGACTTCTCATATTGGTGAAACTCAAAACACTGCCTCACTATGTTCTGAAACACTATTTAGCTAATCGCTAAGACCAGCAGAAGTGTGTGCGTCAGAGCAGAACACAAAAGCCACTTTTTAAATATACTAATTCACATGTCCGTCCGAACACACACACACACACATACAGTAGCAGAAGGGCTTTAGTTACAGTACGAGTAGTTCAGTATGCGATTAAGAACAAAAATGAGATGAAGACCCACCCTGACCTGACAAGCAAACCCACCTGCCTCCAATCATATTTCTCTCAATCCCTCTCTCTGCCTCTCATTGATTATGTCTCTCACACAGGCATCATTCTCTTGTGTGTGTGTGTGTGTGTGCTTCTCTCTCACTCACACACACACACATACACACCACCTGCCTCCAATCATATTTCTCTCAATCCCTCTCTCTGCCTCTCATTGATTATGTCTCTCTCACACAGGCATCATTCTCTTGTGTGTGTGTGTGTGTGTGCTTCTCTCTCACTCACACACACACACACACACACACACACACTCACTCACTCACTCACTCAGACACTGCGGCAGGCCACACCTGCTTCTATACTTGCATGTCATACAACCACCTACACTGTTGCTATGACGACACAGACATCTACAACATCACTACAATTTAGCATACATTAAATTCAACATGAAATCAAAATTGTCCCTGTTCACTTTCGTAAAACATTACTGATCTGTGCATAATTCATCCGTGCACGCTATTCTAGATTGAATTTTTAAAAAGCCTCAAAATATTATTAATAGTATTTTATTATTATTATTATTAATTATTTATGTAACAAATAAAAATAGAACTGCATATTTAAATTCAACTTGGAACTGTTTGGATCCGTTTATGAACTAACTGTACAGTAGGTAGTGAAAATAATTGAGAATGCATGGATGGCTGTTGTTTAAAAAAAAATCTTAAATATTGTTTCTTTTTCAAGTATGTTAAAATACAGAAGTAAAATTGTATGCAAATGCTCAAAACCCCTTTCCACTTTCCTTTAAAACACATTCCTGATTTTACTGTGAATGATTCATCAGTGCACATTGTTCTAGATGGAAAAAATGTCAAAAAGCCTAAAAATAATAACAACAATTGTTAAATTAAATTAAATTACTAAATTAAATTTAAATTATTTATAAAATAAAATAAATGTCAAAATGTCAAAAAAAGCCTAAAAATAATAATAACAACAATTATTAAATTAAATTAATTACTAAATTCAATTAAATTCAATCATTTATAAAACAAAATAAATGGTTACATCTTTACACTGAACTTGGAACTGATTGGAACTGTTTTAAACTATTGCTATAGTTAATAAAATCAAATAAAATCATAAAATGGATGGAAAGATGTTGCTTGCAAAAAATCCTGTTGAAATTCTCTTTTTCATTCTGAAGTATGTCAAAATACAGAAGTAAAATGGTACAGTATGTGAATGGTCATGCTTTCAGGTTGAAAGTATCCATATATTCAGTTCCACCATAATACATGTTCACACACACACACACACACACACACACACTCACTCACTCACTCACTCAGACACTGCGGCAGGCCACACCTGCTTCTATACTTGCATGTCATACAACCACCTACACTGTTGCTATGACGACACAGACATCTACAACATCACTACAATTTAGCATACATTAAATTCAACATGACATTAAAATTGTCCCTTTTTACTTTCATAAAACATTGCTGATCTGTGCATAATTTACCTGTGCACGCTATTCTAGACTGAAAAACATCAAAAAGCCTCAAAATAATAATAATAATATTTTTATTATTAAATAATTATGTAACAAATAAAAAATAGAATTACATCTTTATTCATCTTGGAACTGTTTATGAACTATAACTGTACTGTAGGTAATCATAAATTAAAATAAAATAAATAGAGAATCCATGGATGGATGTTGTTTGCAAAAAAAACTTGAATATGGTTTCTTTTTTTTCCTTTTTGTTCTAAAGTATGTCAAAATACAGAAGTAAAATTGTAGGCAAATGCTCATGTGACCTTTTCCACTTTATTTTTAAAAACACATTCCTAATTTTACCGTCCATCGGTGCACGCTATTCTAGATGGAATTTTTTTTTAAAAAGCTTAAAAATAATAACAACTATTATTAATATCATTATTCATACTATTATTAATACTAATTTTTATTAAATGAAATTATTTATTTATAAAACAAAATAAATGGTTACATCTTTACATTCAACTTGGGACCAATTGGAACCATTTATAAACAATAAAATATATATATTGCTTGAAAAATAAAAATCCCATTAAATATTCTATTTCAATATGAAGTATGTATAAATTCAGAAGTAAAATGGTACAGTATGTGAATGTCTCATGCTGTCAGGTTGAGAGCATCCATATATTACATCCCACCATAATACATGTTCACACACACACACACTATTTGCACCCAAATACATCCTCAATCGTACCATCAAGCTGTCAGTCTCTCACTCTCTGTCTGTTCACTGTGGATTTCTCATGTCCTCACAGACTGATGAAGGTATGATACCATCACTAATTAATTAGCTCCATTCTCGGCCGACTTTCTGTATTTAGTTCTCCTCTCCTCATCTGCTGTTTCACCATCTATGGACTGTAGTAACTTCCTTAGTCTCTCTCTGCATCCTGAAGCTAACAGCCAACATAAAATCACAATGGACCCTATTTACTTTAATACACACTCCTGGTCTTATTGTGCACGTCATGATTCAGCGCATGTTTTTCCACAGAAAACTCTCATCATAACTGCCTGAGAAACAAGGTTTCAGCTGATGGTTACTAATAGCCAAATAACTGTTTAGTCACAGTTTTATTTTACTGTGGTAGGTAATGCAGCCTTTCTGAACTGCTGCCAGTATTAATACAGTCATTTAATGCATATTAACATTACATTTTAAGAATCATTACCATTGGGTTGCATGGAGATGCTCTGGAGGGTGAACTTGACCTTCAGCCTTCACGTCCCTGTCAAAAATCCTCAAAAGTGTGTGGTTTTTGAGGAGGGGAACAAACCCCTACAATCCACTGCAAACTCACACTCTGATACATAATGCTCACATTGCAAGATCCAATCAGGTCCTGAAGAATAAATCCATGTCCCGCCCTACATTTCCTCCCGTTTCACGCACAGATACATCACTTTATGGAAGTGAAATGCGAATGTCATTTCATGAAGTCTCTGTCCTTCAATGCTCTTCCTCTCTCTGGGTCTCAGTCCCCTGTATACCAGCTAGCTATGTGATGTCATTGATTTCCTACATGAGCTTGGTTACCATGGTAATGGTAGACTCCCCTCTCTCTCTCTCATTCCAGTGGTGTTTGGAGACGATGGATGCAGCCAGACGGGCAAATACACAGAGCAAATACAAGCAATGATGGAGAGATTCCAAGAGGAAAAAGAAAGAGGGGATTGATCAAGAGAGAGAGAGAGAGAGAGAGATAGAGGGATGGCTAAAAGAAAAGAGCAAATGGCAATATGGAATTGCACATAGCTGCAAATATAAGCTAAACTTGTACATTTTCTAATGAGAATTTCAGTGATTGTGTATTTGAAAGGTTCACAGTGTTAGACTGTTGTGGGTGGTTGCCAGGGTGTTATGCGGTTGCTAAGGTATTTCAGAATGTTGCTATGTGGCAGTGTTGTTAATGTTTAACTAAAACTAAAGGTGTGGAAACTTGAAAATTAGCAAAATTTGTAAATTTTTCACCTTAAGCTGAAACTCCTGATTACATGGATTCCTATTGGACTGACTGTTTTGCCCGCAAAATGTCACCAAACAACCGTAAATGTGAATTTATTAAAAACATTTTTGTAAATTGAAATAAAGCTGAAATAATAATATAAATATTGAATAAAAACTTAAAATGAACATTTTTGAACATTGTCGTCTTGGTAACTAACTGTAAGTTTAATTACTAACTTAAATAATGACTGATTTCATTGAACATTAACTATGACCAAACCTTCAATTGAGCATCTCTGGATAGACCTAAAAATGGCTGTCCACCAACGTTTACTATCCAACCTGACAGAACTGGAGAGGCTCTGCAAGGAGGAATGGCAGAGGATCCCCAAGTCCAGGTGTGAAAAACTTGTTGCATCTTTCCCAAAAAGACTCATGGCTGTATTCGATCAAAAGGGTGCTTCTACTAAATACTGAGCAAAGGGTCTGAATACTTAGGACCATGTGATATTTCAGTTTTTCTTTTTTAATAAATCTGCAAAAATGTCAACAATTCTGTGTTTTTCTGTCAATATGGGGTGCTGTGTGTACATTAATGAGGAAAAAAAAATAACTTAAATGATTTTAGCAAATGGCTGCAATATAACAAAGAGTGAAACATTTAAGGGGCTCTGAATACTTTCTGTACCCACTGTATATCTAGCTCACATTGGCAACTAACTAAACTAATTGCTAACAAAACTAAAATAAATGTAAAACTATATAGAATTTTTTTTTAAATAATAAAAAAAAAAGACAAAAATCACGTAAAATTATTAAAAATGAAACTAAAACTGAAAATTATAAAAAATTAAAAGCCAATTAAAAAAATATGACTAGAAATTAAAATATTATATAAATAAGTAGCACTGCTATGTATGGTTACTATGTGCTTGCTTATTAGTCCAGGTCAAAAGAATGAAAAAAAACAACAACTCAAAGAGTTGACTGCAAAGAGGAGGACGACGATGAAAGAGATCATTAGAGGTGGGAGGAAGTATGACAGACAGAAGAGGAGACAGGAACACAAAAAACGGAGAACAAAAACGAAGACAGGCGAAAAAACACGCAAAGGCCTTTTCAATATTTAAACCGAGCATAAATATAGAACAGCAATAATTCTAATGTAGCTGTGTGGAATCAGGACAAAACGGGCCCCGATTCAAACCTGCATCTCCCATACGATCACCAAGGCTCAACATATCTGGAGCAGACATACCAAATACAGACACAGACAGTAGCGTGTGTTACCTGCTGCCGTGCACAGTTGGTGTTGACCAGTGTGGCGGCGTGCTGTGGAGGGTATTTGTTTCTCTGATGCTCCATGTCGCCGCTCTTGTGGAGCTTAGCATAGGCCTCCATGTCGGGGTTGGAGAGGCGGCGCGTGTTGCTGCCCAGAGTGTGATAGCGGCGCTGATATTCGGCATCATCCCCACGCAACATCACAAGCACTTTATCTCGCCAGTTTTTCTTCTAGTTCTCCCTCTCTCTTTCTCCCTCACAAACCTGTGGCGAGGAAAAAGCGGAAAGCAAAAGGTCAAGAGCTGGATATTTGGTATGTTGAATGGAGCAGTTCGATGTATACACACTAAAGTTTGCAAGATTAGGATTAGAGCTTCCCAAATCATTGCATTATAAAATATGATGACTAAAGTGACTGGATGGTATGTTATTTCTGATGCAATTTGTATTAGTGAATGCTTTTAGGCTAGTATTACTCAAAACCCCACGTGCTACAAATGAGGACTAGATTCTCTGATGTGTTTCCAAGACTAATTTGATGAAGTTGTAGTATGTCCTAGTTTCGGTGTACTGGCTTACTGTATACTTATAATTGCATGCTTTACTATCACACATACAGACACACACACTTTTCATAACACACACTTTGCAGAAGTATGCAAACTTAGATTCAGAGATGTGTTATTATTGTTAACTGAAACAAAACTATTAAAAATAATTCATTAATTGCAATAAAGCTGACATAAAATATAAAAAAATAAAATAAAGCAATAATTCAATTAAATAAAACATTACATAAAATTAAATTAGATAAATAATAATAATAATAAATCATTTTACCACCACAGGACTATGTAAATGTACTGCCAAAAAAAGAAGCAATTAACTGAAAAAAGTGGTGAACACTAAAAAAAAAAGTTTTTTTTTAATGAAAAGGCTTGGCAACTACCTGAAATAAAATAAGTTTAAATTGAAGTACTAAATAATAATAATAATAATAATAATAATAATAATCATCATCATGTAAATGTACTGCAAAAAAAAGGGTATTAAATGAAAGAAAAGTGGTGAACACTATAAAAAAAAAAGTTTTTAAATTAAATGGCTGGGCAGCTACCTGAAATAAAATAAGTTTAAATTTAAGTACTAAAAAATAATAATAATAACGAATAATATAAAATAAAAAATGTATTAATTACTTAAAGCTAAATAGAGATAAATTAATAAAAATGACAAAAAGCACATAAAACCGCATAAAATAAATTTGAAAATATAAAAATGAAAGCCAATTTAAAATATTAATAAATACTATAATAGTATTATGTACAAACATTTACAGGTACAATCAGATTTTATGAACTCTGGATCAACCAAAGCTGTTTTATAAATTAAGTTTTAGAAAAGCTTTTTTTTTTGCTTCATGTTCACGTTTATTTATAAAGCACATTTAAAAACAACTGTACCAATGTGCTGTACAATTTTAAATGTTATTAGGCATTATAAAATCACAGAGCAAAACACTAACTCATAAGATAAAAAAATAAAACATGCAGATAAAACTATAAGCAGCTAACAAAAATAAAATGTATCTTGTTTGCTGTGTATCTTGTCATGCAAGTATGGATCATAAATAGAAATTACCAATGCAAAACATTCCAGCATGTTGCTATGGTGTTGCTAAGGTTCTGAGTGTTTTTAGAATATTGCTATGTTATTGCCAGGTAACCAAAGAAAGTCTACCCCCCACCCCCCCCCCAAAAAAAAAAAAAAAAAAAAGTCCATCTTTGAAATTTCAAATATTATAATTCCTACACTTTAAAAAATGCTGGGTTAAATATAACCCAGCGCTGGGTTAAATAGGGACAAGCCCAGCTATTGGGTTGTTTTGACCCAGTGGTTGGGTTGTTTTGAACTCAAACGCTGGGTCAAAACAACCCAATAGCTGGGCTTGTCCCTATTTAACCCAGCATTTTTTTAGAGTGTACAGTTCATGTCCATACTGTTGTAGTGTTGTAGCAGCATGAGTTTGTGCAAAATCACTAACCTAAAGAATGAGCAATAATATTCCTTCCATTAGTGAATATCATTAATTATGGCTAAAATGTTTGAAAAAAAACTGATCCAGTAATATATGAAGCAACCGTGTAAAGTGACAGTAAAGATGTGATATTCATGTACATTGATGTCTTCACACAGCAGTGTACGATACAGTCATATCTCTCAAACCCAACGGGAGGGAAAACTGACGTGTTACAGGAGGGAAGAGGAAATCAGGGATGTAGATATAAGACGGCGAGATGGTGGGACGGAAATTGTCTGATGATGTGATAAAGGTTGAACACGATAAAACATGCAGGCAGGTTGTCATACCGATGCCTGGCAACCGCGTGCTGATCGAAGAATTATGATTTTTGTGTGTGTGTGTGTTTTGCTGGAGGATATATAGCACAGTGAGCTCTAGCACATGTCAGCTAACACTAATGCTGTCTGACCTGTCAAACTGAGAAACACAGCCTCTGGACTCACTCACAATACCACTATAAAGCCGAGAATGCGGTCATGCACACAGAAAATCATTATACAACCAAAGAGAGATGCATTTTGCTAATTTCTGCATTGCATTAACACACAGCTACAATGTGAGTGCTTAAATAATAAACAATAGGAGCACAGAGCAACAAAATTATTTGTAATAATAATAATAAATAAATAATTTTAACACCACCATAATAGATAAATAACACCACAGGACTATGTAAATGTACTGCAAAAAAATTAACTGCAAAAAAAATTATATATATATATATATATTTTTTTT